TCAATAGTACAATATAAAAGAAAACATAAGCCTAAAAATGGATATTATAAGCTTCTATGACTCATACAGAATTTCAAAGTGAAATTGCTGAAAGCTCCTTTGAATAGCAGAAGAGAGTTGCATTCCTCAGCTTTTGCTAATATAATGGTCTGTAGTGACTTATGTGTATAATCATTTTGACCAAGTTTGAAGGTTTGAAAGTAATTTGAAAGAAAAATGTTTATAGAATTTTAAACAGTATTTCTAGAACTTCAAAACGCATAGTCAATCCAGAGGGGAAAGAACAGTCAAATTGTCCACTTAACTGAAATGAGCATTTAAGTAAAATTTTTTGAGAGCCGTGTACAGAGCCTTCATTTTCGTTTATCACATCATTCAAGCCACTTTAAAATTTATTTTTTAATTATCATAAGTTTAATAATGATATAGATCAGTTAATATGAATATGCTTGCATACATAAATAACTCTCTATGAAATAATACCAACTTCATTGTTTTAGTTGAATCAAAATATATTTTATTAAATCTATAAAATTAACAAAAGCATTGAGGTGGAAAAGTCAATTCATTTTTTTTATGCCGTTATTCTTCTAAATAGTGAACATAAAAATGTCTCCCAAAATGAATAGGACAGCCTACTCACAATTTTAAAGGGTGGATGTTAAAAATTCCAAGTCACAAATTCAACATTAGATGGCTAATATTGTAATTAGAACATGGTTATATGTTAGTTTTATCAGATATGCCTCTTGGAAGAAGAGATTTCTAACATCCTTTAGTGAATGCTGAAGTATTAGAAAGACATGATTATGAATGATGGGATCACAGCTGTAATAGCACAATGTTAAAAGAAAAAAAGATGAAACATTATTGCCAGATACATACGGCACAGTTTAAATAGAGGAAGGGATAAAGTGAGTGACAGGAACAATCTCACGGATTACTGCTTTGGCACGAAGATTCTAGTATTCAGCTAACTTGCCAAATAAATTGACCACAGAAAAAGAAAGTCAACAGATTAACTTCTGGAATTAAGCTTATTAATGGGTTTTCATGGAGAAATGTATTCACCCATAATGATAGGAAAAGATTTCCTCTGCTTTCCCAGCTTCTAGATTATGCATTAAAATATTTCTCCATAAACTACTGATGGGATAAAGACTATATATTTTTTTCTTTTTAAATGAATTCTCACTGACCTGAGGCAATGCTATACTCTACCCATTCATTAGGACTGATTTATATTTGAATCAGAACAAGTTGTTTGATTTAATCATGACCTGAATATATTTGAATAGAGATTGTTCACGTTCACAGTCTTCTCTCCTTTTTACTCTTCCCTTATTTAGAGTAAAATTTCACTGCTCCATCCATAACTTAAGAACATGCAAGGAGGTAATTGGAATTGGAGGTAAATTATATTCTTTTGTAGAAAGTATAATTATCGGAAGTTAGTTAAAAACACCTCAATTCTGTTTTAATTTTTCATGCATGGAGCAGTTGTTTTGACAGATGGATGGACTTTATTTTTGTAACCATCCAGGAAAAGTCTGTGTAACACAGTCTAATCAGTGCTACATATCCGTAATGTTTGTTTTTGAATCACTGTGCGTTTGGCTTCTATATCTTTTTCTGGGGGTAGACATTTTCTTTTAAATTTATTTTTTCAGGCTAATACCTTTATGCATAATTCCTGTATCCGTTCAATCTGAGAAGACTAGAAACCCTTAAAAAATAAGCCTAAATACCTTGTCACTAAGGATGATAAATCATTGCTCTTCAGGTGTGGCCTTGGGTTTTATTATTTTATAACTGCCTTTACTTTTATTTCCAAGCTAACGATTTATAATGTTGTTGGTCTGGAGTAAACTTCAGTAAAACAAGAAGCTGATATGGTTGCCTAATTCTCAGAAAGCCAACTTGTTGCTAAACTTGTCTGTGTACATCAACTTAAATTTCAAAAAGGATCTAGGTTTGAAAAATGAATTCATTTTGAACTGATTACACTTTCTTTATTACGTTGTAAATCCGCCAGTGCTGAGCAAAGCAGTGCAGTAGTTTAATTCCAAAAAGTACATTACATTCTGCGTTTTAAGAATGGTCACGGTTCAAGAAAAGGTCAGAAACACTCTTCTTCTGTCTCCCTAGAGCAGAGATGTGTGAAGTGTGTTTCCTTTTTCTGCCACGCTTCCTTCTTTTTTAGAGGAATGTCCAAGCTGCTTCCAAATAAAATGAATATCCTGTTTTGGAACACTCAAAAACCTTGGCAGCAAGAAGCTAGAGAATGAAGGCAAATGAATGACAGGATTGATACTCTTTTATGTAGGTTTTCTGTTGAGAACAAGTCTTCACTAACAATATGTCTTTCAAGTTTCTGTTTCTTCTCTGTTCAGTTCTTTTAATTCACTTTCCTCCTTCATTGTTGTTGATGAGTCTCCTCTCAGCTATTTTTAACCAACTTTCAAAGTATTTCCTTCCATTCTTTTGTTTCATTTCAAGCATCTTTCTACGCTCTAAGCCCAAGAAATTTCTCTGCATTCTATTTGTGTCAACCCTCACTTTCAAAATAATATTGAGCTAGCCCCCAGGCACAGCAACAATACAACCTGCTGCCAACTGGGAGAGTTCAGTGGGGAAATAAAGGGAATCATTCCAGGCCTTAGGCCAATAGGGTGGGTCTAGTTGCTTTGAAACACAGATAGACTCTGTTATCAGCATTCTCAGTAGAGCCCTTTGCCAGGATCCACAGCTATAGTCCTGTGATTGATTTTGTTCCAGCAGCTCTGTAGAAAGGTTGTCATGTTATAGCGGTTCTTCTTTAACAAGTAACAGTGAACACATTAAAATTATGATATTTGGTGTGGCCCAATTCCATAACTTTCAAGAACCCAGACAGTTTTTTCAGTCACTATTTGTAACTGCTTGTTTCCATGAAAGAGCAGATTTAGTCATTGATAAATCGCTAATTAGCTATCCAATCTTAAAGAGATAAAAGAACCCACAAAATCTGTGATGTCAGGATTCATAATAGTTGCAGAGGTGACATGAGCCTTCGTTTGTGTTCACAAGTATTCATACTCATAAAATATTTCCTTTCTTTTTGTTATGGAGAACTAAGTTCTGTTCTAAAATTTCTGGGATGCATTTAGGCATTACTGATAGTACTAGAGAATTTGGGCTATGTACAAAATTGCATACATGTCTTCAAAGGCATGGCAGGCAAACTGAATCCTTTTCTTTTCTAAATGAACAAGCCATCCATCTGGGGCTGCTACTATTATTTATTAGAATATCTGTTTGCTTACCAATATATACACAGCCAATTTCCTGGTTTCAACATATGGTGCTGGAACTGGTTATTTATTGAGCTCACTATCAAGGATGATTGTCTCTGTGTAAAAGCAGAATATGTGGCCACCTACATGTTTCAAAGTAAACATTTTCCTGAAAATGGCTTTTTTTGCAAATGACTGAATTTTTTAAAGAGTACAAATAAATTCTTTGGGTAAGACTCATGAATGCCTCATTTGTAAATGAGTTTATCAGATGTTTCTTTTTCCACAACCTCCTTTCTCTGCCTAAGCATTCATGTCCTATTCTCTTGGGGAAAGAAAACTGTTACAGAATGGAGAGTTTGCTGCTGAGAGTAGCAGAAGTTCTATCTGTTTCACAGTTTTACCTAGATGTACCCTGTTCAAAGTGAAACATGAATGACGTCCATGTACCCTTCAAGAAAATTTTCCTCACAACAACTTGCAAAATCAGTTGATTTCAGAGCATAATTTTATGTGTTATATAATGCCTTACGAGACAAAAGAAAGATTAAGGAATTATGGAGCAAAACAGTGGGAAAAAAAATAATGTTTATTTTAGTTACCCCCCAAACTATTCAGCACATGTTAAGAAAGCGTGAGGAGTCATAAACTTGGAACTTTTGTAGTTTACTTTAAATAGGCCTAATTCATTTTTAGGACAATAAGTTCAAAGGAAATCAGTAAGTTTCATCTTAGAAAAATCAGTGATGATAAACAGCAGTTATCTGAATTTAAATGTTAAATATTCTGTTTAAGTTTGGTTGCTTGCACCTTATTTAATGCAAGCAATGGAGTTAAGACCAAAATCATCAGCTTGCAAATGCAGAATGCAAATGTCATGTGGAAATGTATTCAAATTGTTGTAACACCTCGGTTATAAACTCCAACTGACTGCATAAGTCCAAATGCACTCTGAGCTTTTATTTGAAAAGTCACAGTTCATAGACAACAACTTGGGAGTGTCACACACTTGGAATTGCTAGGACCAACCCATTCTCTATTACGTTTGCCAGCTTTGCTTTCTCTATAATCTGCTTTTGATCTTTGTCTGCATTTATAGATACATATTTGGTTCTTAATTCCAAATGTTTTCCATTGTGTTCCCAAACAAAGCTAACTAAGAAAGTCTATAACCAGTAATAAAATAATTTTCAATGCAGTCTTTATTATTTAGTACATGAAGACTCATTTGGCTATTTTTAAAAGGGATTATAAATGATGTTTAAATGTCATGTTTAATAAAAAATCATAATATCCCTTATTTCTGTTTTATTTTTCTAAAATCAAACTCAAAGTTGATTACTGCAAAAAAAAAATCACCATTGTTTTGTTTAAGTAATTCATTAATGAAACAAATAATTTGCCACTCCCCTCATTTCTGAAAAAGTCACCCATGGTAATTGGTTATCTAGAGCATTTATTATACTTTTGTATAAATAAATTAGAAATAGTTTTAATGAAAAAGTTACAGAAGGACATATTATTTGCCCCCTCCGAAGAGTAAGGAATTCTATATTTTAATGCATGCAATAATATGAGCAAAACAACAGAATAATAAGCAAGCCCTAAAAATATTGTGAAAGAGGTATAGAAGAAAAGAAATCTGCTCAAGCATGCCTAGCACCCTAGAGGATACCTCAGGCATGCTGACTGCTAGAATTCACTGGTTTTTCTTTTGTCTTACAGAAAGAATGTGCTAATTTCATCAAGGTACTTAAGGCATATAATCAGACTCACTTGTACGCCTGTGGAACAGGGGCTTTTCATCCAGTTTGCACCTACATTGAAACTGGACATCATCCTGAGGTAAAGCTGGCTTTTAAAACATGGTATTTGTCCTTGACCCCTTCCTATTTAAATGTTCCACTACTAATTTCTTCAGCTCATTTAGCTTCTGGTTCACTATTCAGAGGGACCTACTTCAAATTCAGAGGCTGTTATTAATTTTAATCTGTGAATTCAAAAAGAATGAGACGATCACTCAACAATAACTACGGAACAGGAGGAAGGAAAGAAGAAAGCATTTGTTTTCACCCTGGATTACAGAGTCCAATCCATTTCGCATGTGCAGCAGATGTCAGCAGGCTGAATGTGTACTGTTTTCTTTGTCATTTATGTATTGCCAGCTTCCCCCTCCATTGCCAGCCTTGGCCAGAAGTGTCTGCCACCCAGTTGTTTTCTTCTGCCTAGGGATTATCATTTAATTCTATTTTTCATCGAGTGTGCACAATGATCTGATCTCAAGTTTGACCCAAATTATTCACATTTGTGTTCTTGCTAAGCTTTGCTTTTCTATTTTTGGTCCTTATTTTGGTGGTATGGAAAAGATAAAAAGCAAAAACATGTTTCTTTAATTTCTCCATTCCTCCTGAAAGATGCTTTAGCGAAAAAATGTACTGAGGAAATTATAGTAAGGTAAATTTAAGTTAAAATGAAATAAACAAAAAGTTGCTAACATTGAAAGCCATTCAGTGAATTGAGTTTATCAATAGTCTTCAATTATAAGCCCTTTTATGATTTTTGGGGACAAAATCCTAAGGAGAACAAAAGCATTCATGTGGTGAGAATCATTTGTGACAGAATTTTCTTCTAAATTGGAATTCAGAAATACTCAACAAATAAAGAATTTGTTCCCAGAATATTTCTGGAATCCTAAAGATAAAATAGAATTTACATGTTAGTCACTCCTTTATAATTTAAACTCTATACTCTAAATTTTCTTAAGGTGTCCTGATGTGATATAAATGTCTTCTTTTGATCCGATAGATTAGAAATCAGAACATTTTGTGTGTACCTTCTTTGTACTAGGGTATTTCAAAAAGTCTGTAGAAAAGTAAAATTAAAAGATAATATGAATCCACAAACTTTTTGAAGACTCCTCATAAAGAAGGCACCTTGGAGACTATGTGGTTTCAAGACTAAATGCAATTACTTTTCTCTCCTGATGAGCCTGAGAAGATGAAGACACTTTCCCATGGAAGACTTATTGGTTTAGGCGATTGCCCCTTGTCAGCCTTCTCTCCCCATTCTTTTTCTGCTCTTCCTTAGAAGCACATACACTGTCCTTGCTGACATATCTAAGAGTTTTAAGTAAAACAAAGCTTCAATTGCTTGTTTCATGTTGATGAAATTAGTAACAAATTCATGCACATGGTCCTGGAGACTTTATATTTCTAATTATTTTTAAACACCTTCTGATTAAATCACTCCCTCTGCTATCTCCTCACCTATTTCCTATAGTAATGTCAAGTGTCCTAAAACTTGGACCTAGGGTGATTGTCCTCCTTTTCCGCATTCTGAAGATGGCTCTAGAGAACTCCCTCCACATCATATTGCACGTTTTACATCTGTCAGGAATCATGCTGTTCGTGATTGGCAACTGAGTCAGGAATGCTGAGCTCCTAGCACAGATTAGTGAAAGAGACAAGGACTTTGGTGTCATATCTGGCTTCAGATTATGCTTTACAATTTACTAGCTGTGGAGCACTGGAAAAATTACTTAACCTCTCTGAGACTCTGTCTTGTAATATGCAAAACAAACTAAACAAAACCATTTTGATCCTCAGTGTCCACATATTTCAAATGAGAGTTTGGCTTACTACCTCACTTCCTTTCAGCCCTCCTAGCAGGGCATGACTCATTGATTTTCTTTCCTATAGAAACTCAAAGAATTCTAATCCCATCATTGTTAAAAGTATGTTCTTTGGCCTCAGACTGAAGGGCTTTTGTCCAACCCCAATTCAGTACTAGCTGCTTGATCTGGAGCAAGTTGTTTATTTTCTCTGCGTTTCTAATCTAGAAAGTTGTAATGAAAATGGTCTGTAACGCATACAGTTGCTGTGCAAGTTAAACATCATCTCATAGGTAGTAGGTGCTGAAAAAAAATAAAAACAAATAATATTTTTGAAAAATCTTTTAAAAATATTTATCTGTGTTTTTTAAGACATAAAATATGTTTGCATCTCAGACTAAATGCTGTTGCTCTCTTTCTCACTAGTAGTTGTTACCTTACCTCTTAAATGTTCCTCACTTCATCAGAGTTTGTAAATTATGGCACTAAGTACTAATTGTTGATGGGTGATTCTACACTTATCTTGATTTTTTCATTTTTAAATCTGAGTCTTATATGCTCTTGACAGCCATTTAAGTTAAAATGCCATTTGTTGTTCCTGCAGTTTTCTTACTTTTCTCATAATGTCATTTTTTTTTCCTTTCTGAAGTTGCTTTTTAATAGTATTAACAGCATATTTCCTCTTCTACTCTTCAACCCCTCAATGGCTTATGGGTGAGCAGGTTGGGAATGGAGAGGTACAGTTTCTGGAGCCAGGCCATATACCCAAGATCTCCTCCCCTGAAATAATAAATAATAAAGTTTCCCATCTGAGCCCCTTTGAGGTTGCAGATTGAGGTGCAAGTATGTTCCTGAGACTCTGAAATTCAGCTTTCCAGAGAGGTCCTCCTTCAGGAGCTCAGTGATTTTGATTTGCATGACAGCTATAGATTGGGAAATACTGTTCCAGACTGAGAGGTCAGAGGAAAGATGATTATGCAATTACCTGGGGGAATTTCGAGCAGTCTAGACAGTCAATCTAGGAAATTCTGGAAAAGATATTATCAAGATAGCTTGTGTAGAGTACATTGAATTTAGTTTTCAGTGCTTAAGCTGCCTTAAGATAGAATCTGCTTTAAATCGATTTATACTGGTACTTAAAATAATACCCCTGGATTTAAATAGTTAGGCTGTTTGTGAACTTGAGAAAGAGAAAATGTATGCTTTGTACTATTTAAAAAAGGAACAACAATAATGGAAGGATTAGAAGAGTAAGAAATAAAATAAAAATCAGGACAGAGGCCAGGATTGTTGGATTAGAGTTTATAAAGTCTCATGAAGTTTGACTATATTAACTTTTCTTTACAAAGGCAACTTTTCAGATAAAAAACACAACTTTCACCTAAATTCTAGTTTCGAATTTGCATATATGTTCTGCTGTTACCTGCCCCACACTGCATGAAATAATGAAACATAAGTTTTCTTTAAAATTTTGTCCAGTCTTTACATAATGTAAATAATTTTATCAGAGGAAAAAGAGAAATTTCACTTTTTGCTTTTTTCAAAACTTTCATGGACTTTTTAACATTCGATTTTTCTTTGCAGTGTTCTTCCTTTAAAATAACTCATTGTCTTACATTGAGTTCCCAAGATTATTAAAAGCCCATTGTTAGAAAACGACATTATGGACTTACCATTCTAGATGGCAGAATGTTGAAAAATTAAAGATAACACTTTTGAATCAAACCAAGTCTCCATTATTAAATAGTTCTGCATCTTATAGGAGAAAATTAACAGTTGCTTTTAAGTAGTGATACAATAGTTTGCAAAATAACTCCCAGTTTATTCTAGTTATGAAAATAGACCTCATTGTACTCTCCTATCATTTTAAGGGTATTATGTACACTCCTGAATAGTGTATTCCAAAATCTACTCTTGCTGTATAGTAAATGCCTTCTGACCACACACAGTATGCCATTGATTGCTGTATTGAGCAGATTTTCTGTTTCCTGTGGTACATTTGGGAATTGGTAGACATATTAATTAACTCCAGCTCTGTAAGATATGTGCCAATCAATTATTGGGTCTCCGCCAATAGCACTTGACACTGCAGATAACTGCCAATGAGGTTAAATACTTCATACACATGTGTGCGTTTATCATAAAATGCATGCAGAGCTCACGGAAGGAATGATTCAGAGCTGGAGTACAGATGAGTTTTGAGTTTAAGCTCTCAGCATCCATGCCATTCAAATGAAAAGTGTAAGTCATCCTTAAGAGGCAGAATATTCCCAGTTGGCTTATAGTATATGGTATTTCCCCTTCAAATTTACATCTGTTAATAAAAAAAAAAGTATGAAATTTGGAGGAGTATTGCTTTTCAAAAAAGTCTCTGGGTGTTTTCTCAAATTCCAAATGGGCCTCTTCTATGTACTGGCAGGAAATCTAAAGAAAGATGAACCCAGATGAGAGCTGGAAAGTATTAACTCTACAAATACTCTCATAATGTCATGATCTAGATTTATGATAGAACCAAAGGGACATTAAGAAATACAATGAGGTTTAATGGCTATCTCTAAGGTCATTTTTACAATGACAATCAATATATCTGGATATGAAGTGAAATGTTTTGTCTAGTTCTTCTCTTCCACCAAGAATAGGAGTTTGCTGTTATGCAAAACTTGGAATCAAATTCTCTTAGTAACAGTCCTCAAGGCCAAAATGCATTTAAGTAGTAGGTGGTGCTCTATAGACTAATTTATACATATAATCTAATCCCAGGTAGTTGAATTAATTTTCTCAAATTATTATGCCATGTAGTAGTATGGAGCACAAGTTTGTTTGTAAAAACAGAGTGTAAAGCTGAGAAATTCAGATAGTTTGGCAAAACACTGAGGAGTTACTTTTGAGTAGGTGGCACCTTTCCATCTTTCTTGGATCAGACATTGGAGTTTGTATTGACTTCGAAGTAGGCTAAGCTAGGTGACAAATGTCAGGATTCATGGAAAGTTCCTTCTCAGGTGCTCATTATCTGCTCCAGAAGCCAGGTATCCCTCATTTGCACCACTGACCTAAGCCAAAGTTTTCCGAGTAATTTCACAGTGGTTTCTGTGTTTTCTTTCCTAAACTTTTAGTACTTGAGTCATGTTGGAAGATGGACCTGTATGAGTTACTATGCTTAATAAGCAATACCACGATTTATATTCCACATTAAATCTTGAAATAACCTGCTGTTTGTATTTAAGGAGAAGCTTCA